AGAATCTTCTAGAGCGTTCTAGAACAAGCTAAAGTCTTCTAGATAATATTTGTTCTATTGGGCTAGTGATGATCTTTAACACTCCCCCTCAACACTAGCCCTCATTCTTCATACCATGTTAAGCTGACAACGAAAACCTTCACATTTTCCAATACTCAGTCCTTTGGTGAACAAGTCTGCTATTTGGTCATCGGTCTTGATCTGTCGCATCTCAATTTCTTCCATCAAGACTTTCTCTCTGATAAAGTGATAATGCACTTCCACATGCTTTGTTCTAGCATGAAATACTGGATTTTCTGCCAGCCGAATTGCAGATTGGTTATCGCAGTGAAGTGGTACCGCATAGTCAACTTTTTGATGTAAGTCCTCCATTAGGAGTACCAACCATGTACTTTCTTGAGCTGCTACGGCCGCTGCTTTGTACTCCGCTTCTGTGGTTGACAATGATACGGTTGGTTGTCTTTTACTACACCATGATATTGGCCCCGACCCAAGCTTGAACACATACCCAGTGGTTGATCTTCGGGTATCATGGTCTCCTGCATAGTCAGCATCACAATATCCAACCAACTTGCAGTCTTCTCCTTTTTTATACAAGAGACCATAGTCAATTGTACCTTTGACATATCTTAAGATCCGTCGGGCAGCATCCAAATGAGGTTTCTTCGGATTTTGCATGTATCGACTCATAACTCCAACTGCATAAGCAATGTCAGGCCGATATAAAGTTAGGTAGATAAGACTACCTACTAGTTGTCGATACATCGTTCCATCGTCCAACTCTTTTCCTTCATGAGCACATATCTTGGTATTTGGCTCTATTGGTGTTGATACTGGCTTACACTCCAACATGCCAAACTTTTGAAGTATATCTCTTGTATACTTTTGTTGGCAGAGGAACAACCCTTCCTTTGTACGATCAACTTCTAACCCCAAGAAGTATTTAAGCTCCCCCAGCTCTTTCATTTGGAATCGCACCGATAGATTTTCTCTTGTTTGATGGATTTCTCTTTCGTCATCCCCGGTGATGATCAAGTCATCCACATAAACCAACACAATTGCCAACTTCCCTTCTTTTTCTTTGACGAACAGGCTTGAGTCTGCATGTGCAACTGAATAACCACTTCGGGTAAGAAATTCAGCAATCTTACCATACCAGGCTCTTGGTGCCTGCTTCAATCCGTAAAGAGCTTTTCTCAGCTTGCACACATGAGTGGGATTAACTGCATCCTCAAATCCCTTTGGTTGGTTCATGTAGATCTCCCGATCTAATTCTCCATGCAGGAAAGCATTCTTCACATCCATCTGCCATAATTTCCAGTCTTTACTAGCTGCAAGAGCTAGCAGCACCCGTACAGTAGTTATCTTCGCCACTGGACTAAATGTTTCATCATAGTCCAATCCATATTGTTGTGAGAACCCTCGAGCCACCAAACGAGCCTTGTATCTTTCAATTGATCCATCTGTGCGTCGCTTTAATTTATAAACCCACTTGCAGGAAATGGGTTTTATATCTCTTGGTCTTGGTACCAGTTCCCACGTTTGATTCTGCTTTAAGGCTGTAACTTCTTCTTCCATTGCCTTCTGCCAAGCTTTATTCTTAATTGCTTCTTCATATGTCTCCGGCTCTTTAACACCGTCTTCTAAAATAGTCGCATTAGCATACTTGGGATTAGGCTTTCGGATTCTTTCCGTCCTTCGAAGTTGTGGAGGCGGCGTCTCCCTTTCACCGGCATTACTTGTTTGAGTTACTTCTTGCTCAATGACATCAGTGTCGCTCGGATCTTCAGGTGTGTCAACACTTGACCAAATGTGTGCAGTTTGCTCCCCCATCTTTTGTTTTAAAACTTCTTCAATATTTTCCGAGTCTGGTAATACTTTCTTCTCTAAGGACCACCATGAAGATGCTTCATCGAACACTACATCTCTTGAAGTGTAGCATCTTCCGCTTGTTGGATCACAACACCTCCATCCTTTTCTTTGATTGTCATATCCAACAAATATACACCTGACTGCTTTCTTGTCAAACTTGCTACGTAAATGACTAGGTACAAATACGTAGCAGACACAACCAAATACTCGAAAGTAGCTAACAGTAGGTTTCATGTTCCATAGTGTCTCAAATGGTGAGATGAAACCTAACCTTGGTTGGGGAAGTTTATTGATCACATGGGCAGCAGTTCGCATTGCTTCAGCCCAAAATCTTCCTGGGACATTCTTCGCGTGTAGCATGCTTCGACAAATTTCTGCAAGATGTCGATTCTTTCTCTCAGCTACACCATTTTGTTGAGGTGTGTTGGCACATGTGAATTGATGACGTATACCACATTCTTTTAGATAGCTATTGAATTCTTCCGAGGTGTATTCTCCTCCATTGTCTGAGCGTAGACACCGAATCTTCTTTCTCACTTCTCCTTCGACCGTTGTCTTGAATTCTAGAAACTTTGAGAATGTTTCAGATTTTTCTTTCATGAAGAAAACCCACACATATCTCGAATAATCATCAATGAATGTCACCATGTACCGCATCCCGCTAATTGATGTCTGCTTGACTGGACCGAACACATCCGAGTGAATTAACTCTAGTGGCTTCTTTGCTCTAAAATTTGACTCCTTGTATGGTAATTGATGAGCTTTACCATACTGACATCCAGCACAAACAACATCTGTTTTAACTTCAAGTTGAGGTAAGCCACTGAGCATGGATTTCTCCATTATTACCTTCAACTTGTGATAACCAACATGTCCCAGCCGTGCATGCCATAGATCTGCTGTCTCGTTCTTACGAGTCTTATCTACATAGGCAGACTCTGCGGAGAGAACATAGACGGACTCCACTCTCCGTCCTTCCATTGTTGGTTTTTCTGATATTTTAAGATCTCGATAGACCTTCACATCTTGTGGGCCAAACAAGACGTAGTTTCCTGATGATGTTAGTTGCGATACCGATAACAAGTTCTTCTTCATACCTGGCACGTGATAGACATTATGTAGTGACACCATGTCAGATTTATTACCAGGCATGATCGTTGTTTTGCCAATCTGAGCAATTGGAAGTCGTGCATTGTTGGCTGTAAGTACCATGCGACTCCCTTTGTACTCCTTCACGTCTTGTAGTTTGTTCTGATCACCAGTCATGTGATTGGAGCATCCTGAATCAATGATCCAGTCATTCTCATAGTTGATACGCTCTCCCATCATTGCCATGAGCGCCAACTCGTTTTCTTCTATGGCGCATAATGCCTCAGCATCCCATTCATCCTCTATTTCCTTTTTGGAAGTTACGACATTGCTTTCCACAGACTTTTTCTTTGACCAACAATCTTTGGACATGTGGCCCCACTTTCCACAATTGTTGCAGTTGCCTTCGAACCTCCTCCCCCGAGAACTCTTATTGTCGGTCTTTTGAGATCTCCATGGTTGTGAGGTTCCTGGCTGACTCTTCCCTTTGTCAGCATTTTTGTATCCTTCTTTAGAAGGTGGCTTGAAATTCCTCCGACTTTTACTTGTGTAGAGTGCTTCTTCTTCACTCTTCAGCGTGATGCCTCCCATTTGCTTAGCCATAGCTTCTTGGCTGGCCAACAAATTCTCAAACTCTACAAGTGATGGTTGAACGGGCCATCCTTGTACAGCAGTAACGAAGCTTCTATATTCCGGCCTCAGTCCATGGATGATGATCCTCTTCATTCGAGCTTCTGTAATGACGGATTGCGGATCTAGTTCAGTAATCTCCCGACATATCGACTTGACCTTGTGGAAATATTGAGCAATCGTCATGTCACGTTGTGAGATTGATAATAGCTCGTTCTCCAAAAGTTGTAGTCTTGTATCATTCTTCTTTGAGAAAAGCGTCACAAACGTGTCCCAAGCTTCTTTCGGTGTGTTCTCGTCCCGAATATGCTCCAACATCTCTTCTTCGATTGTGGTCTTCAAGGCAAACATTGCTTTGCCTGCTTTGATTTTCCATTTGCGTAGAGCGCCATTAACATCTTCCTCCGGAGGCGTGGTTTCGCTTCCGCCAACGACCTCCCATAGATCTTGTCCTTGTAAGTAGGACTTCATACATGTTTCCCATGTTTTGTAGTTGTTGTTGTTGAGTTTCTTGATTCCTCCGACGACTTGGAGATCACCCATCGTGTTGGCAGTACCTCGGTAATACCAAACAAGCTAGTTTCGACACTAAACTTGCAGAGTCACAAACTACTCACGATACAACGAGAATCACTCGTTCTCACTATCAAGAAACCTTGCTCTGATACCAGATTGTTGAACACGACTCTTTGTATGGGAAACAAAAAGACTTTTATTAAGACACTTAAGAAGACCTTATACTTTGTGAGACTACTACACACTTTGCTCTCTTTGAGGCTTTCTTGGATGGTTTGGAGCAAATGAGCTCCACACCTATTTATAGGCCTCTTAGGAAGGTTCTAGATACTAGTATACACTTACTACCTACTAGATAACTCTTAGAACTATCTAACATACTCTATATGCTTCCATATGTTTCTAGAATATTCTACCATGTTCTGGAGAGGTCTAGGTTGCTCCAGTGTCTTCTAGAATGATCCATAACCTTCCAGGGTCTTCCATGTCGTTCTAGAGTATTCTAGACTCTTCCGGTATATTCCGGAGTCTTCCATAGTCTTCCATAATGTTCTAGAATCTTCTAGAGCGTTCTAGAACAAGCTAAAGTCTTCTAGATAATATTTGTTCTATTGGGCTAGTGATGATCTTTAACAATAACTTCTTTCCCGCTGAAAGAACAAAACCAGCTCATAAGTGTTTCAAAGTCATGATAGGTAAAATAATGACCGGAATTTTTAATAAAACAAATGCTATCGTGAATAATGACATAAAGTTTCATTAAAACAATTCAGTGATTTTATTTGACATTATAACAATTGAATGAAAGCAAATCAAGTGATTTTGACTTTGTAAAATAAGATGAGAAAGCAAAATGTGCATAGTACAAGAATTCGATAAACAATCTCTTGTCATCAACAAACCACTATAGGTGATTGACAAGAAGAAATATTAATGAATCAAGATACAATCTTCAAACAAGAATGGTGCAAGTAGAGTCTGGTTTCCATGGCTTAATAATGATCTTGATATATGGCTCCAAATTCTTGCCTCCATGCCTGATCATCCTCCTCATTCTCATTCTCATGGGATTTCACGTCCGAGTCTTCCCTATACAAAGGTCTCAATGCGGAATCAGGCAAGCGGCTCCCAGCAAGATACTGTTTCATTGTAATCATCTCCATCTTGTGCTTTCTTTTCTGTTTATCCATTTTTTTCTTTAACTTATCACTCTCTTCCTGAACATTTCCCAAATTTTCCTGCACACAGCACAGCACAGCACAATGAAAAGAAGGATTACAAAAAGGTGAAATTTATGAGAAAGTGAATGAGGAAGTAAGTACCTGTGCAATGGAAGCTGCTTCTTCTGCTTCTCTGAGCCTAACAAGAAGTTCACCAGCAGCATGAACAGCTTCAGCAGTGTCTCGAAGTTGCATTTTTAGGCTTCGATTCTCCTTCTTCAACAATTCCCTTTCCTTCTCCCTCTCAACTCTCAAGACAGAAAGCTCTGCAGCAAGAGACTTTGAAAAGCGCTTCCCATGGCCTTTAGCTCCCGCTTTTGCAGCCGCTCTTTTCACTTCTGCTATCCCCTCCATAATCAACCGATGCTTTTCAGCCAACTCGTTGTACTTCTCTTGTAAATCAGCATAATGCTCCACCATTTTACCATGTCCAAGGATGGATCGCATGAGGGCGTCGTCCAATTCTTCGCTACATTTCTTCTCCAATCTCAGCTCCATTTCCACCTTCTCAGCACGCTGCCGGTTGGCCTCCAGGTCAACTCTCAGTTCATCCGTCAAACAAATCCATTCGCTCTCCATCTCCATCCACCTTTCCCTTTCCTTCTCAACTTCTTCATTGCTTTCGTTAGGAGGATACACACCGCTTTTTCTTAGTTGGAGCGATTGTGACAAAAGAGAGGACGAGATTGATTTGTTGTTGTTTGGCGACTGCTGGAGTTTGCTTCTTAATGTTTTGATCTCTTCGAGAAGCGATTCCTTTTCGTTGGTTTCTTCTATCATCTCCGGTTCGTCATTCCATCTCAGAAGCTGAGAAAAAAAAAAAAAATATATATATATATATATATATATATGTATATATATAAGTTTTAAATTTATTTCACAATGTTGTTGTCGTTGTATTTCTCAATTTGATGATCTGACCTTTGCTACACTGTTATGTGAAATCTTCCCATTTCGAAGCTCATCAAGCGGTGACAACATGCCACCTTCTTTCTCTTGTTTGTATTGCGATACCTGGAAGTAAAACATCAAGAGTTAGAGAGAGAATTCGGGAAATTAACATCATCAACATATAGATATCTGTGAGAAAAAAGAAAGAAATCTTACCAAACTATTCAACCTCTCAATCTCTGCTTTTTGTTCCATGCACAGATTTTCAAGATCTTTCACTTTCTTCATGCTTTCTGAGGTCCCTGGAACAATCCATGTCTTCAAGCTGTCCTGGACATCATCACAAGATGCTTTTTGCTGGCAGGTCGAGCAGATATATTCTTTTGTGGATGTTTCGTTTGTCTTGGTTGCCAAGTGATCAAACGATAATGCAACTAATGATTTATTTAACACAGAGTTGCGTTGGTGGTTGTCGATAATCTCCAGGCCTCTTTGAAGACTAGCTGCTAACGATTCAGTGGCACCCCCACCCCCAAACATCTTGCTTGATCGTAGAGAAGACCTAATTTGATTGCTTATCCTCAGTGACTCATGCGTTACATTTGAACTGAACTTCAAACTTTCCACAACATTCTCTTCTTCACTTGTGGGCAATTGGTTTGATTTTGATGAGAAAACCACGCTCTTTCTCATGGTGCTACCAATTTTTGGGGATTCTGACAACATCGGACCACTGAAAGCATCAGAAGGCCTGCCAACACTGATAGAGAGGCTATCATGTAAAGGATTGCTCTCAGGTTCTTCTGAATTGGTTTCTTCAGCTTCGCTTTCTTCGTTACAACTTGCATACTGTTCGCTCTCACAACCACCCATGGAGAAAAAACGTGTGCCTCTGCTCTCGGAGGTTTCTTGAAATTCATCATCACAAGAACTATGCAACATATCGAGCTGTTGTCGCAAGTCTCGAACATCGTGTTCATCGATATGCAATTCTTCTTTCGAATCATTGTCGATTTGTGGGAGGATCAATGAACGATTAAGGCTTACTCTCAGTTGATTCAAGCTTTGGCGAACGCTTCCACCTTTAAAAATCGTGCTCGATCCAATAGAGTAACTAGTATCTGATTTTGCCCTAATCAGCTCTTCCTGAAATCAACAAATCCAACTCAGTTGATCAGAAAGCAGTTAGGGTTTTATTTTATAAGAGGGTGTACGTACCTTCAGTTCACGAATTTGATCAGTGAGATCATTAACATCATCTTCTGTTATTTCGTTTACAACCGGATTATTGTGTATAAGTTTTGCTCGGTGTCCAAATCTAAGTGTGCTTATGGTTTCAACAGAACACCTGTATTTCCAGAAATTGTTATGATATAGTCAAATAAAGGCCAGTTTCCAGATCAATTTAGTGATGAATACATACTTTTCATCTGGGGAAATGGCACATATAACAGTAAGCTTTGAGTTGCCTCCAAGTGATTCTCTCAGCAAATGAGTCAAACAGGAGTTGTTATATGGGATGCTCCTGGATTGTTCAGACTGATTTGTCCCAGCAAGGATATTAACCAAGTTTCTGCACAATGCAAACAACATGAGTAACTGGAAGCAACCAGTGATTTATCACACACAGTACAAGAAGAAATTGAGCCATACCCAAGTTGTGATATGGACTTTCTCACAAATTCTCCTTCCCTGACACACTCTCTACTAACATCATTGCTTTTGTTCTTTTCAAGTCCAGCTATATCCACAAGGGTAACCCTGCTTGTCTTTGAACTACCAAAATGCTTAGAAGCATTACCCTGATAAATGGCAGTTTGGTTACAGTTAGGATTCCGTTGTAAACACAATATGGCTTATTGTTTTAAACCACAGATAAAGTTATGAACTTGGAAATTCAAAGTACCTTGCACCAAGACTCGATGACACATGTAAACACAATATGAGATCTTGAACTTTTGGAGTTTATGCTTGTTGCTCCAACCTTTCTATTAGATAGTCCCTTGATCAGAATTTGAGTAACATCTTCATAGCTTGTCACATACTCCTCACTCAGATTCTCAACATAAAACCCGTGTTTAGCATCATCTTTTATCTGAAATAATTTGACTTGTCACATTACAATCACAAAAACAAGGAGTAACAGGAATATAATACATCAATGAAAACACCAAAAAGATAAGATCTTAATACCCACCTCTAGGTTTCTCTGGGTTGGATCGAGCAAATCTCCAATTTGTTCGTTATATATCTGCAATAAGTTTCAATGACAATAAAGTCATCACTTAGTTTCAAAGTTAAGAACAGGACCAATGAAAGGCAGCCATGAAGCACCTACCTCGAGGAAAGAGCATCGGCACTGATAATTTAATTGTTTACCCTCTGCTTGATCTTGCTCCTGAAATGAAAATCAAGATTGCAATCATAATGAGTATTCCACGAGATCCTACACCTTATTTTGTATACATCAAGGATGAAAAGAAGTCTGCTTACTCGTTGGATTTCGGCAAACAGCATCTGGAAGATGCGTGGAACAATCCCTTGGTTACCATTGGCTGATTGATCTTCAACCATTGCACTTGGTGGACCCCACAACGTGTAAGTTTTTCCACTTCCAGTCTGAAAGACACTAGCAATCAATGGAGATATTGCAACCAAATAGTTTCCATCAAAAACAGTGTTACCAAAAAGTCTAATAGAGTACCTGTCCGTAAGCCAAGATTGATGTGTTGTAACCAGCCATAGCACTCTTAACCATTGAGACACCAACTAGTTTAAATACATCCTCCTGTCATAGCATCAAACAGCTTATAACTCGATAAATTGTTTATTCTTTTACCCTTCCTCCAAGTAAAAAAACGAACACACTTAGTATTGTTCTTTAATAAATCAATGTGCGTTTCTTAGTTGCTACAGGTTCATGATTACTCATAACGTTTGATGTTAACATACCTTAGAAAATCTCATCAGTAATGTAACAACATATGAATTCTGTGTGGTTAATAGAAACGATCATATGTAGTATTGTAGTGCACAATTTAATCCAACATTATTCACTACTCAATAGGAGAATGCTTAAGAAGTCAATGTGCATATTTTGTAAAACTATCAAAAGTAATATAAGAAGCTCACCAATTATGCACACGGTTAACAGAAACACTTATACAGAGCACACATTTTTATCAAACATATTTAACAATTCAACAAGGGACTCGGTAATTCTACGAACCTGACTAGATTTGGAGTCGAGGACTGCATCCAAAGTAAATTTTCGATCGCCCACGGAAACTGAATCTTCAGAAACTTTTCTGACAGTATAATCTCCTTTTTCGTGAGAATTAGGAGGTCTAATCCTCGCTATAACCTATCAAATTAACCCCATAAATAAACACTGTTTCAGATATAGTTTCTAAAAAAACAAAACAACACTGAATCAATTTGTACCTTAACAGGTGGATCTTGATGCGACGGTACTTCTGCTTTTTGCTGCTTTTCCAATTCAGTGGCTTTTTTGCCTGGAACCGAGACGTTTCCCGTTGATTCCTTTACAATCGAAGGTAGTTCACAAACATGAATGTTCGGATCTTCTGGTGGGACGTTTTCACTGTTGAATCGAGATAGCTTAGGGTTTGAAGTCATCTTGTGCTTTACAGATCCGGATCTAGGAAGTAGGTTTCTAATTGAAGAAATAGAAATACTTCCCGATGAACGATGCCGTGAGTTCCCTGCGTTAGACTTCATACTTGTCTTCACTACACGATGATCGGAGATTCAGTGCGTGTTAGTGAAGCAGATGGGGGGAGCGTTTGAGTTCAAATTCGAAAAACGGTGCAGAGGGGGAAAGAAGAGAAAATCGGCGTTGTTTTGGGAAATGACCGTTGTCTATTTATGTGTACAGATAGGCTTTCCACAATCACATGCTGTTTTAAAAAATTACTATCTTGCCCTCGTTTCTAGCCGTTGCACTGAGATCCGGCCCGTTGGGGGCTTAACTAGGCCTGTCAATTCGGGCAATGGTTTCAGTTTTTTACCCAACACCACTAGACATGAATTGTTTTTTTATAACCCGAACACGACACGACACGATGTCGGTTTTTTTTGTCTAACACGAACCGATTAAAAAAACGACCAACACGACAAAATTAACATAAAATTTCTTTTTGTTTCATTTATTCATACTTAAAAACGACAAACACGACAACACGACAAAAATGACATAAATTATCTGTTATTTTACTTAATCAATGCTTAAAAAACAACAAACACGACAAAATAATATAAAATGGTAACAAACGTCTTCAAACTTATGAAACAAAATAAGAAAAAGAAAACATTCATCTATTTATGTGTATCCTTGCTATCGAATTTCATAATATCATCGGTAAGTCCTTCTAAACATAATTCTTCATCACCTACAAAACAACAAACATAATATAATCTTAATTAATAAAAACTTAATACACTAAATTCAAATTTTCAGCAAGTAAACACAAATACCTTTAATTTCAAAGAGCCAATCTCTTGTTCAAGTTGGAGCCTCAACAATTATGTGTCAAAGAACTTCGATATTGATTAAGAACATGATTACCTTTACTAGAAATCAAAAACAAAAATCATAACAAGACACAAAGCATGAATTTGATTTCAACTAACATAAAAAAAATCATAAAATGCAAATTTCGATTTTGACTAACAACATACAAATGATACATTCTTGACTTTGAGTAATAGAGAATATCAGATAAATTTTCATTTAAACTAACATACAAAAGCACGTCTAACTTTGACTGACATCATACAAAGCAATTTCTGATTATGTGTATCAGTGTATGCGATTTCTTATTAGCATAATGTTGCGAGTTTGACTAACAATATACAATGAAAATGGAAAACTAATTCGACTAACAGAATTTATATGATAATCAGAGATGCAGATGAGAATACCGTCATAAACAAGTAGATAAAATACAAAATTACCAGATTGCAAGGAAGAGGGATGTAATTCAGATTATGTGATTTAGATTCTCGGTGATGTGGACGGAGATTCTTGTAAATTTGATGGCTATGCTTTTGAAATCAAATTTTTGAAGTGTATGAGACTTACTTTTCCGTCGTATAGTAATTGATAGGGAGAGCCAAGAAGACGTGAGTGGAAAAGCCTACGAGTTGAAGTGCTAAAGGTTTTCTTGGAAATCGGTTTAATTAAAACCATAGAGTAATTGCTTTTAATTAAAACAAAGAGTAGCAACATTTTAGAATTCAACATTTTAGAATTTTGATAAGGTATAAATCGTATAGATATTATGTTATTTTTCTGTGTTAATTTCGGGTTATTATGGTTTAATATATCGAGTTAATATCATGTTATCTTCGGGTTATTATCGTGTTGAGTTCGTGCTAATTTTTTAACCCGAACACGACACGACACGACGTCGTGTTTCACATAAATGACACGAACACGACACGAACACGAATTCAAATTTCGATTTCGTCCTAATTTCGTTTCGTGTCGTATTTTTTTGTCGTGTCGTGTCTGTTTTTGCCACCCCTAGGCTTAACTCATGAAAACTTGGTTCGTTTGGTTGTGCATTATTGAATCCCTATTTAATAAAAGAATATGTTTATTCTCCTTTTGTCATTTGTCACTTTATGAAGCTTTCTAATTAATATCATGTCACTTGTCAACCTATTGATTCTCCATTTCAAATTTAAAATTTTAAAATTTTTCATTCTAATTACATTAAATTAATACATTAGAGTAAAAGTTTAAAATAAAATTAATATATATTATAAGGTCATATGTTTATTTAAATCAATGATTATAATTTTATGTAATTAAAAAATATCTTTTAGTTAATAACTTATTTAAAATAATTAATTAATAATTTTGAATTTTTAGTATGAAAGTTTAATTAATTTTGTAACCGTGGTTCCCACGAATTATAAACTAGTAAAGTTATAAACCACTAATTATATCGTCCTAAAAATATTACCTTTTTACTTTGAATCGGTTGACAGCAATATTTTTCAGTAAGCTTTTTAATCATGAATTACTTCTTTACCCGTTAAGGTACCGTTTCGCAGAAAAATTGGATAGAATAGAACTGGACTAGACTAGACAAATGATTTGTATAGCGTTTGGTAATACTAGACAGAACTGAACAAGTTGTCCGAAATTGTTTGGAAACAATAGAACTAGATAAAACAATATGTAAAAATAACCATACTATCCTTATGCAAAAAATATTCATAATAGCTCTATTTAACATACACAACTTCAAAATAAACATTTTTAGTAAAAAAATTATTTAAAATTCTTATTAAAACAAGTTCTGATACCAAATAATCAAATTTGCTTCAAAATTAACAAAGTTCTAAACCAAAGTGGTTTCCAAAATCCTTATTTTTAAATAAAAAAAATAACAAACTTCAATTGTCATCTTTCAATATAGTATCGCATGATTTCTGAAGAAGACAACTCCATGGTCTTCAACTCTGCATGTATAGTTTTTAACTCTGGGTGGTCATTCGTAGAAAACGTAATAGCCCTAGTTATTTTCTGGATTTCCTCGGATATGGTAGCTAACCCCCTTTGAATTACATGTGTTACTTCTCTGGATGTTGCTTTTCTTTTTCTATTTTGCGCCAAGTCTTTGAGATTTGGATTGGAGGAAGTTGCAGTGTTTTAAGGATTAGAATTAGACGATGGAAAACTTTCTCCTTCTTCGTTATCAACATTTTGATTTTCTGTCACATCAGCCACCGATTCAGCCATACCGCCTGTAGCTCGATCTTTACCAAAAATATTTGGCAGTCGCTCGTATGCAGGGAATGGTTTGTTCGCGATATAGTTTTTGTTTGGATTTTTCTAGTAAAACAAACAAAGTTACATGTAAAACCATATATTTAATACTTAGATATGCATATATATATATATATATATATATATATATATATATATATATATATATATATATATATATATATATATATATAATCACTAACCTGTAGATATTCCTCTAATATCTCAGCAGAATCAACTACTACACATTTACGAGCATCATCCCAACCAAACCCACTTGTATTTTGCATATTATATGCAGCAAAAAAATTATCCTTTAAACGTTTGATTTTTTTTTGCACGTGCTTTGATGTTATATTAATACCAACGACTTTTCCCGCAACTTTAGAACGACTTGATCATAGGTTCCAGGCCTAAAGCTTCCATTATCACCTCTGCCACCGATGACAACAATGTCTTCAAGGATGGTAATCAATGCAACCTCTTCTTCTTGAGTCCACTGACTCCTGTCCGCCATAATTTGTTATCTGCTTTTGTCATATTATACATAAAACAGGTAAATATATAAAACTGGAAAAAATGAAAACAAATCATCCACTAAGCAAATTAATATTAATAAAAACATACACAAAAATCAAAGTTGCTCGGATCCATAACAACTACAAATAACAATCTTAAAAATAAAAGTTCTAAAATTAAAAAAACAATATACTAAGATCTAGTTGACATCCAAGACTCAAACATTTCTTGTGCTAAATCATCTCTCCATTGAGTCCATTCATTACTTGATTCAACAACATCCACAATTTGAAAATGATTTGGTTGTTCTTCCCTGATAGGCATATCTTCAAAAGTGTTAGACGTGTTTTCCTCCGGATCAAGAGCCATGTGTGTCCTAATAAAATTATGCAACAAAGCACATGTCATGACTATTCTCCCTTGAATTCTTATCGAATAAAATGAAGGACTTCTTAATATAGCCCAACGTCTCTTTAGTAGACCAAAACACCTCTCAATAACATTCCTTGCTTGAGAGTGTTTCGTGTTAAAGTATTCCTCCTTATTTGTAGGTGCACGTGTACTACCTTCCCATTCCCGTAAATAATACCTAATACCTCTATATGGTGCCAAAAAACCTTCACCATTGATATATCCTCCATCAGCCAAATGATAGTTACATATAATAAATAAAATAATAGGTATGAATATGTAACTATGTTTACTTCAAATATTTAGCAATTATTGTTTTAGCTTACCAATTGGAATCTTCAAACCATTATGTCTAGTAATTGCATCCCGCAAAACCCTTGAATCAGTAGTCGAACCTTCCCAGCCAGCTAAGACGTAGACAAAATTCATGTCACGATTGCAGACACCTAACACATTCATTGCTATATTGCCCTTTCTTGTTCGGTACCTTGGTTTATCCGAGTCAAGGACATTAACTTCAATATAAGTTCCATCAATTGCTCCTATATAACCCTATAAATAAAATACTAACTCGTTCTTAGTTAAAACCTTATATTTAATTTGTAATATATCATAATAATGTTATAATGATTACCTGGAACCATTTCCATCGATTGTTTGTACAATCATTTGCAACAGGCGTTGGGTTAACAAACAATATCTCTTGTAAATGCATTAAAGCACCCAAAACTCGATGAACATAACGACTTATCGTTTCCCCTGACCGATAGAATCTAACTTGAATACATCTGTTTTTTTGTGGTGTGCTAATACGTTTAAGAATATAGCAACTTGCTCCTCAATGGTCACTAAACCATCGTTTAATAATCCACCACGAGTTTGTATTAACTCACATCAACGTGCAAATGCATTTATGTCCATACATAACTTATTTATACAATTTTCATCACTTTCACGTAAGATACATTGTATTTCTGTTGACCATTGAAAAATTGTGTCTAATCTACTTTCTAATGTACTTTCACTTAGATCTCTCCTTTGAGCTTCTTTTTCCTCACATTTAATTAACCAAAGTCTAACTGTAGCTAGGCATATCAACAACAGAATATAACTCTCCAATAATTTTACAAATAGGAGAAAATGATT